ACGGTTTGAAATTGAAAAGGTCCAATTTGACTTCGAGCAATTATATTTTGAAAACCAAACCAAATATATGGCAACAAATAACATATATCAAACAAACAACTATCTGACTATGTTCAGTAAAAATCTCACGTAAATTCGTCATGTGATTTTTGCTATGATTCTTTTCACTTCAAAGGCTAAGTATGGCCAGGGAGCATCAGGTTTATTGTCTTAATTTTAATTTTAAAGGGATTTTACGAAATAATAGATACATTATTCAACCCACGCAAGATATAAATTTCATGGGTACTTTTTTTGTAGAGATAATACTGTACATGACCTTGATCTGGTATTTGGTCAGAAATATTCATCAGCAGACTTGTCGCTATTTTTTTCAATTTATCTCTTATAAAATTGCGTTTTTTAACATAGTTTACTTTCATATTTATTACTTTTTATTGTTTGTACCTTTGCTTGAGTAAAGATTCAGTTGGTTATTTTTATCCCACCCACATGTAGGCTCTTATGAAGGTTATACGAATAAATCTAACTTGAAATTAGCAATTTATTTTATAGAACTTAAATTAAATTAATAATTATATTGAAGTCTCATAAACTAAGCACCAGTGTTCAAAAAAAAAAAACTAAAAACGAAATGAAATACTTTTGTTATGGATTTTTTTCTTTATTTGTTTTTGAGATATTGGTGGTGTACCTTTTCACACCGCTCTGCCATAATGTTAAATTTTTTCAACAACAATATTTAAAAGTACAGGGCAAGAGATATCAGCCATCGTTTTAAGTCATGCGACTACTCTATCAGAAGATAAACGGCCATATTTGAAAATCTATAATAAAAGTATTTTCTTTCGTTGTTAGTTTTTTTAATTGTGAGCGCTGTTGTTTAATTGACAAAACCTTAATATAATTTTCAAGTATACGTTATTCAATTTTTTCATAAGATGTATTGTTATTTTTAAGTTAGAGAGAACAGATGTATTTATACAACTGCGTACATGTGGATGAGGTAAGAAAGACCAACTAAATTTTTACATAAGTTAACCAAAACTATAGTTTTGCACGCTAAAATAAATCAACAGGCGCTTAACACTAACTAAAATTCATACACCCCACTTATCAGGAATTTATTTCAAAGTTGCGTTGTATATTTGCAAAGCAACATTCATATCTGAATCAGAAGAATGATATATAACATCGGATTATTTCAAATATTCATGGATTCGGCGAGTCGCCGCAACTAGCTGCCAAATAAATCAGAATTAGAGAAACAGGCGGGCGCGGTTCGGGCATTATAGGCAATTTGTTCTGTAATGCATGTGCATGTACACGCTGCAACGTGTACTAGGCGAAATACATCGTATAATTTAAACTCCGCACAGTAAAGAATAATTTCAAACGATATAGCGGAAATATGCCCAGCAAGTGCATTTTATATAAGCCATATTATATACGTGAACCTAACATTTACATGATGCCTTTCATAAATTTTAATGTAATTGCGGGAGAAAATGATACACAAAAAATAAACAAATTCAGACACATTAATACGCTTATTAATGCAAATTATATAATAAATCAAATATACCAATATTAATGACTGAAATAAATTAAATTAAAGGTATTAAAATATTTTTATTCATTCATTTATTTCAGTTTATTGGCCTAAAATTCATCGATACCTTAATCCTACCTTACTCTTACTTTAACTTGAAAGCAAACCCCCAGATTAATATAAACAATAGCTTAATTACTGGTCTGTTAACTCTAGCGTTCTAGACTGGTTCCCCAAGTAACTCTTTTCTTCTTTCTTTTTATGATTTTCAGATATTCGATGAAATTTGGTAAAAACTATGGCATGATTAGTTTTACAAGGCGATCAGATGAGTCGTTTCTTTAGAGTTAGTAGAAAAACGCACTATTTTTTGTTCACGTTTTTGCAAGAAGTCCTCCATTGATTTTGAAAATTTAAAAACCGTTTAAGAGATATTTGAAAATTTAAAGACCTTGAGGTTGGGAATTATTATTGATTGGGCTGTTTTATAAATAAATTTCTAAAATTTATTTTGCTTTTTTAATTAAACTTACTACGATGAAATTGTTTATGGTGTAGTTAACGAATATCGAAAACTACTATAGTTTTATAAAGAGTGATTGAATTATAAAAATTAACTAAAATTTGGAATAATGGGCATTGCTTGCAAGACACATAAGCTGGTGTTTGTGCGCTATAATTAATTTAATTACTGATATTATGTTTGTTTGAAATATTTTGAAAATCGCATTGATTAATCTTATATATAAAAATGGATCGCAAAATGTGTTGGCCAATTCTTTTTTTTAAAATGTTTGTTGAAGTCCAAAGATGGTTCTTACGGCGAGAAAAAATCGAATAATTGCCGTGAAAACCCTAAAAACAGCCCTTTTCTTTTTTACATACAAACGTTTTCTAACTAAAACGTAGAATCACTTAACGTTTCATATATCATTTTATTCGTAATTTTAATCTGCATCTTTCGTCCGAACAAAGTTTTTTCGTATCTTTTATGGTTTGGATTCAATGTTTCTCTAAAGAAAACATATAAAGTATTATACATCGTTAGAAAGGTCTCAAAATTCTTAGATCTGTTCCCATATTTTGCAACTTCGAATTCCTAACGGTGTGGCCTACAGGCGAGTTGCAGTAGTAAAATTCAAGGAAAACTAGAAAATCTCGAGAAAATTATATGAACACACTTAACGATTTATATATCATTTTATTCGTAACTTTATTCTGCATCTCATATCCAAATAGAATGTTTTCGTTTCTCTTACGATTCAGCCTGGAATTTGTGTGAATATTCAATTGTTCAAATGCAAAGTACGGTTAGGTTTGAGCAATAAGCCACACTGTTCAATATTTATCTAAAAAAACCATATAAATTGTTAGATGGAACTTCAAGTCACAAGGGCAGAAAATGAACTTATTTTATTTATTTATTTACTTATTTATTTATTTATTCATTTATTATACGCCAATCGGCTATATACAAAAAATGCATGTTTCAGTCATGGCCTAATATACTATTAACTATATGTGGCTTACTCGAGAGTTAGAAGTACAAACAATTTAATTATTTATGCACCTACAGGTCTGACAAAGAATATTGTATATTCCGTTAATTGATATATTATAAATAAATTCGTTATAAAAAATGTCCTGTAAAAATATTTATATACAATGTTAATGATCATATTTCGATATTTGTCTGTTTGATATACGTTATATGTTGTGATGTAGCTGATTTGGTTTTTACTGTATAATTGAAATTTAAGTGTAGAAATTGTACATACATTTCGGTATAGATTGTAGTGTAAAAACATTAATGATTACTTTAACTAAACGGTAAATATCAGTATAGGTTTTTAAAAAAATGGAGTTTATAGGCATGGGTAAAGGACAACGTCTGTCGGGTCAGCTAGTTTTAAATAAAATTGAAAACTAAATTTTATAAATACACCTAAAAATAATATCCAATTAGCTGAATTACTTTATTCAATGATCATGTCGATTCTTTACACACATCGGAATGTTTTTGCAATGTTTCTCAAAAAAAATTGCCATTTACTTCTAGTTAATTTTAATAAATGTAGCCTTATTAAATATTTCTATGAAAATTTGTCAATGTATGTGCTAAGCATTAAATTATAATTTATATTAATTAAATTATCATTTATTTCATATGTTCCATTATTTGTCCTCTTCTTCAAGTTGTGTTGGAAGTTCTGTGAATATTCGATCCAGCATGTTTTGCAGGGCCAATTTAAAAAGTTTCGCCTATAGCTTCCAGAGTTTTTGAGCAAGTAATAATCGTTTTATATATATTAACCTCGCCGTTATCGTTCCAAATCCATCTGACAATAAAGGTATAAATTCGTCATAAAATTTAACGAGGTTTCACTATGAGATAAAAGAAAAATGATCGCGTCCTAAAATAAGTTTAAGTGTTGGTCCCGCGCAGATATCGCCCTATCGTTTCTATTCTATTCAGAATCCATTATAAATATTACTCTCATAAACGATTTACGATGGATTTTAAATCGTTAGCACTTGAAAAGTGTTAGGAACTTTATTCGTTATTTTATATCTATTTTATGGTGTTATTTAAGAAATGGGCAAACTTAATATTGTTTTACTATATATTTAGGGGCATAAAATATCGAGGTTTAACTGAGTTAATTTTGAAAACTGATATAAAATTTGTTATTGCACATACTCAAACTGCTCGTATTTGTAATAGTCTGTATAAATAAATATCTTAATTATTAGTTTGAGAACTAAAGTTAGTGCAGTTTTCAAATTAGGTGAGGTAAAGCAACCTCTGTATTGGCAAATCGAAATGGTGAATTATCCCATAATTGACTTCACATATCTTTGTCACCTCGTTAAAAATTATTGGGATGTTTAGCCATATTTACCATACTGTCCTGACCTTGGACCTCCTTATTATTTTTTGATTTGCATGAAACTGTAACTGTAAGTGTACTGAGTGGTAAACAATTCAATGATTACTATGATGTCATATTGCACCTGATTCATAAAACTCAAAGGTTCTCTAAAAGTGAGATTATGATACTGTTGGAAAAATGACAAATTGATCAACATCTGTAATATATTACAAAACAAAGTTATTTAGTTTCATTCCGTTTTTCATCAAAATCCGCAATTACTTCGTTGCCAACCTTTAATATATTGATGAAAATTTGCACTAACTTTGATTGTATGGGAGCTGACTTCTTTAAAGAAATTTTCTAATTATAATTAAAAGCAGGCTTGATACGTTTTTTTTCAGTTTCAAAATATGATACTAGAACTTTTAATGATTACTTTTAATGATAGACCATAGATTCGTCGTATTCAATTAGGCCTGCTACTGATTAATTTAGAATACAGTGTCCAATACTACTATAAATAGTTTTTATAATTAAGAAATCGTTATTTATTCAGATATTTCTTTTTCCAGTGTATTCCCGATTTGTCATGGAGTCCAAGACGAGGTCGGTACACCTGTGAATGTCGAGTGGGCCACTATTTGCCGACTGGTCCATTATCGTTTCCTGGTTTTCTCGTGGAAAGCAGCCCAGCTGGTGAATACAAGTAAGTTGATTTACTTTAAGAAACTTTTAGTAACATAAATATTATTGCAATATAATATTCGTGTATAATATAAGCTGGTGCAGTGCAATAACTTATAAATGTAAACTCTATGAAAATGGTTATCGGATAAGATTATTAATAATTATTAAATTTTTTTCATATTTTTTAATTATTTGGTTGAATTCTAAATTATATCTCAAAATAAAATTTTGGAATTTAGTTTCATAAGGTCAAGCATAGTCTTTCATTTTTAAGATATTTATTCGTCAACATCCCTAAATCTCGTATGATGTTGCTAAAATATTTGTCAGCATAGACAATTTTAGTTTTTAATAAAGTAGTTAATCTAGACGTAAGATATCTAAATTTTTGGGCAAAAATATTAATAAATATTTTATTATTTGGTTGAATTTAAAATCATATCTTGAAAGAAAAATTTGGAACTCTGTTTCACACGATAATTAAATTAAATAACTTTATTAACACTATGGAAATGAATTTCAAAAAGTGCAGTTTTGCATTTTTAATTAGTTTATTCCCCATTTACCCTCAAATTTAATTATTTTTAAATTAATTATTTCTGAAATATTTTTATACTTTTTTAATTCTTAGTGACGAAGTAGATAAATCTAGATTATAACGTGAACAATAAAAGATTTACTGAACTGTACTACTTTCTAATGAACTATTATTTGTTTTGTAATTATTTATTTTGTAAGGAAGTATTTATTGTTTCGTTAAGTATAAAAAAATAAACATCAAGTTGGCAAAGAGATAGAAATTTAAAAAATATGTTTATATATATATATATATATACATATACTGACAGCAACTTTATTCACACTGTGAATTTTATTTCAAATAGCAATTTCTATGAAAACTCTTGCATAAATTCAAAATCGATGACAACAAAATACTGATACCATTATTGCCGAAAAAATTCAATTTTTGCAAGAAATTTAATCACGAGAACTCTGGTAATAAATTAAAAATCAACGCCAATAAAAATATAACTGCTTCAAAAAGTAATACATCGAAATTTTGTCCTCAAAATTTATTTAATAATTAACTAAAATATATTTGCACTGAACTGAAAATTTGTATTTAAAATATCTCACGTATTGAACAATTTCAAATAGCAGGATTTTTATAAAAACTCCTGCAGTAGATTCAAAATCGATAATAACATAATATCGCTGCACATAAATAAAATGTAGGATTATTTTTCAAAATTTATCTAACAATAAGCCAAAATATATTAACACCATACTGATATCGTTCATTTTGCATATCTTGCATATATTACTGGTTTCAAATAGCAATTCCAATGAAAACTTTTGTTTTAAATGAAAAGTTGATGATAACAAAAATACTTGTTTCAAATAACAATTTTTATGAAAACTCTTGTTTTAAATAAAAAATCGATAGTAATAAAAACATAACCGATGTAAAAAAAACTAAACACAGAAATTAGTTATCAAAAATCATTCAACAATAACCAAAATTTATTGTATTCTGCATATTTCGCATACCTTGCTGCTTTCAAATAGCAATTTCTATAAAATTCACAATAAAAATGCCACTCCTAAAAAAAAACAATATTGTAATCACTACTATAATCCTGCTGGATTATGTGATTACCTAATTATCTCTCTGAAAGTTGTACTAAATCCCCAATATCTTTCACTAACTCTGTATTATATTTTTTCTGTAACACAATAATCCGCCATATTATTCACAACTAATCAACAACTTCATACACATTATGTGCTGTCACAGAGCCATCTATCTCAATGACTTGAAACTAATGTTTATTTATTTATTTATTTATTTATTTATTTATTTATTTATTTATTTATTATACGCCAATCGACTATGTACAGTTAATTGTATAGTAATGTAACATAATAATGTTAAACTATGTTATTTTTACAAACACATACAAACACACATACAGGCACCTATATATACACTCGTCCATACATACGTCCGCAAATGCACTTATATGTAACAAATTCTAATAAGTATTATTCCTTTTGACAATGTTGATAAATGTATTATGTGATAAATTAAAAAAGTTTAGTTTTGAGCACTGTTCGTTGACCACCATTGCTACTCTGTTCATTGGACCGTTAATATGTAGTTTTTCGTCATTTTTGAAGTCTGCACAATACGGTTTGTTCTTATTAATGTTATTTCAAAACTTATAGCTACTGTTAATAATATTAAACTGTTAACATAATATTATAATACATTTTTTTTCATTTTTTTTTTAAATAAGCCAAAAAATATATACGCACCATACTAAAATCTTATATTTTGCATATCACCCCGTCGATCTCCGCCTAACTTCTTCTCTCAGTATCCATAAGTAGTCCCGACCCAGCATTTTGTCTATGTAATGTACTCTGCGTAAGCCGAAGACTACTTACTAATCTCAAAGTTCGATCATAGGCATCCACAGGTTCTTCTGTTCGGCCTAAATGCGTCTTATCTCTGTTAATAGTCCTACTCCGGAAAACAGATTCTGAGCTAACTGTTCGGGCTGTCGTAATGACTTAGACCATCCACAGACAGTGTGAAAATGGAGTGTAAACAGTGGGTTTCTAGAATTCGCAAAAAAGACGGCGATGGGATAGATTGTTAGAGTTGTGTCTCGGCGATGGGTTGAGGGAATTGGGAGGATCCGTTGGGTGAAGGGTGTAATGGGTTAAATAGAGTTTGTTGGTTTAATATAACTAGGGCCAATCATGCATTAAATACTTGGATTAGATGATACACTTTGATTTATTCAAAGCTCTTTACTCTTGTAATAAATTCTTGCAAATTAGTTAGATAATTAGTGGGGTGCATGTCATCGTGCATTAAGGCAAATTTCTGGAACTTCCCGTACTGTTGATATGTAAAAATCTTGGTACGAAACCCAAAAAAAATTACACAAAATATTTATTAAAATCTACATTATTAAAATCTTTATTAAACATCTGATAATTTGATGTGCATATGTCCAATAAACATTTTTGACCGCCAAACGACATTTTTCTCACCTATTTTTATTGAGAGTCCATAATTGCTAAATCTGCCTTTCGAAAAATTTAATCAGTTTTTTATTTTGTCAATACAAGTAAAATGTTTTTTGAATGATTAAAATCGGACACTCCATTCTCTTAGAAACTAATAAGTTACCGTTTTTGGCACTTTTTGCTCCGTATTTTTGGAACGGTCAGACCTGCCTTTGCCAAAAACTAATCAGCACGTCTCCTTATCAATACAAATCGAATGCTTTTTTAATTATTCAAATCGGTTGATCGGTGTTCTCGAAATCGTCGACGAAAATTTGTATCCGCACACACACACATACACATACACACACACACATACACATACACCCATACACACACGCATACATCCATTTATTCTAAGGTATGCCAAAATGTTTAAAAACCCCTGAAACGTAAAGATTTATACAAAATTTTATTTTCGATTTATTGCTATTACTATAACTTACCCTACGGTAAGTTAATAAATTTACATACTTGGATTATATGATACACATCGATTTATTCAAAGCTCTTTACTCTTGTAATACATTCTTGCAAATTAGTTAGATAATAAATAATGTGGTTTAAAACTTTACACGAAGTCGGAGGTATATCATTGTTTTTAGACCAGTGATACCCAACGTTTTTTAGGCCCCGCCCGACCTTGAGGTTTCTAAACAGGTTATGCCCCCCACACAATTTTTTTTTGTTCCTGAAAAAATGTGAATGATAAATTTTAAGATCAAAACTCTATTTATCATAAGTACAATTTCGGCATAATCCAAAAAACGGAAAGTACAAACGAATTTTATTACTGTTTTTTGAAATTTATTTAATGCAATACTTAAGCCTGGTATTAGTTTCTAACTTACTGAGCTTTAAACTTAAGTCTTCACGCTGAGTTATTTCAAATCTATTTTTTATCAATAAATTATAACAAATTTTTGTACATATGGTTACATTTAGTCATTTGGTTTCAGTTTCTTCATAAATCCATTTCTTAACGACTCAGTTTCTTCATAAATCCATTTCTTAACGACTCTACTTAGATAGATATTAGATATTTTCTTAACTCACAACCGTAAATTTGAAGGTTCCCTTGTTAGAACGAAATTATATCTAATCCTTATATATCTTTTTTTTTGTTAAATCTTTTTTTTTTATTTTAAAACCGGAACGGAAATTTGTAGGTGTTAGGTAGGCAATTGAGTACGTCCGCATTTTTGGTCGAAATTTGTAGTTATCAGGTTGGCAACTAAATTAGTGCGCATTTTTGTTAGAAATCGATAGTTATGGATGGCAACTAATTACGTGCAGTAAGTGAACTACATAAAATTAAATTCATTCTGCATCACAAAGGAAATGAATGCTATAGCATTCACGACCGCGAACGTGTTAAGAAACCTATCAGTTAAGTTTATTAATTCATAACCCAGATGAAGTACTCCCCCGATATTAACATAACCGCATTCGCTAGAGAAGGTTTATAACTCAACAAAGATATCCACAAGTATTACCGGCACTCCTACAATGAGCATTGTTTGGCGAAACTAATTAATTTAGGCCCCACGGCTCTAATCTTTGTTATGCTTCTGAAATCAGTCCCAACAATGGTTCGAGCATAAACATTAATTAAATTTCGTGTCAAATAATGCTTCAATTTTTATAGAAAAATACAATATCGCTATTTTGCGGAATTCAAAGAACGCGAAATGATCATGTTATTAATATTCACCCTCGAGAGTGAATAAACGGTTATATTCACAACATGCTACAGAAAAACTTGGCGCATACTGTTCTTAAAAACTTTTTAAAAAAATCAAGTCTTTCACGGAGAAATGAAATTTGGATACCTACATATATTTTTTCGACAGAATAATTTTCTATATCATACTATTTTATAATTTATATTTTATCATTAATTTATATGATATTCTGTACGTGCAAGTTCTTCGGCAC